GGAGCTCGGTTTCTTCACTTCCTGAAGCTTTAACTCTCTTAGCCCCGCGACCAACGGTGCTCCTATCGACTGCACAGCTTCCATACACAGCACACCAACGTTTATGAATGTTCACCACCGTTTCTTTTTCAGCAACAAGGAATTCAATTACAGCTCGTTGCTTGTACCGAGAGTCGTTCACAGACGCCATTTTAACAGTTCACTACAGCTCCGCTATCGGTTGGAATCATTTGAAACTCCGTACACGAACGCGGGAAACATCAAATCTCAAGCATGTAAAAGTGCACTTTTCTATCTTCATTATTGGCTGAGAAAAAAAATGTGGGGCATTACTTAATGAGCGACCCTCGTACAATTCTGTTATACAATCGAAACACGTCAGAAAAATTAAAAAGTGATTCGAAGTCACTTAAGTTGAAACACTGTACTGCAGATCTCCAAATTTAATACACAATTACAACGACTACGAAGATTGGGCAGCTTTTTTCTCTAAAGAGCTAATGTGCGTCGTCTTCAATATATAGTATTTTAATTCAACAATCAAAGTACCATTGATAAATTATACTTCCGAAAAAAAAGATAATTTAATGGATTCTGAAGGATTCGCCTGCTTATAAAACACGTAACGTTTTTCCTACTAAAGGGCCGTTCAGTGCAGACTCTGTTGGTGCTCGTATGTTCGTATATAGTTAATATAGCAAACCTTCAAATATATTTACCAAAGAAATTACTTTATAAGACACACGGGACAATTTTAGTGCACTTCAGCTTCACTTATACTTAGCTTTCTTTCGTAACGATGTGCTTTACGAGTGGGAAATTCAATGTCAGATCCATATTTGTACATGGTATTACTGTTTCCATGTTGTAGATAATTCAACTTCAGCCACATTATATGGATGTTATTTGAAATTCAAAAGTAGCGAAACGTCGTTTGAAAATTAAAAAAAAAATGTTAAGGAAAGATGCAATACAGACTGCCAGTTACAACTGTTCATAACCACGCTCCGAAAGGTACGATTCTTTAAAGAGAGGGGGAGGGGAGAGAGAGAGAGAAAGAGAGAGAGAGGACAGAGGGGAAGAGTTGACAGGAGTGGCATGGACCCACAACGACAAGCGGTCACTGTGACCGCAGTGGGCCCGAAAGCGCAGCGCCATCAGAGGTCTTACCTCCTCGGCGAGCCATTTCTAGTTGCATTCTAACTACGGAAATGTATAAAAACTACAAAAAAGCAAAATAGAGGCATAGTATAAATAGGAAGCGTCTGTAATTCGTTCCTGTAACCTTTGGACTACAAATACTTACAAGTTGAGTGGCGATCATTAAGACCGTCTTGAGGGAAAACCTTCGTCCACAAAGGTCGAACAAATCTTCCAGACTGGGTCCTAACAACTCCATTACTAAAGCGTTGTATTTCCCGCATGGTCCGAAGTAGAAAACTTCAGGTATACCTTCTAGATGATAAAATGTGTACAAAGGAATGAAAGATGGGGTTGGAGGGATGTTTGGGGTATGATGGGAGCGAAAAAGACAGAATACAATGGATGAGAAGACGCTCTCTCAAAAAGAACAAAAAAAGAGCAAAATTTCGTGTTGCGACGTGTAAGCGTGCAAGAGCAGCTTAGCAGAACGCGCTGGGGGCCGACGTTCAGAAGAGTTGACAGGAGTGGCATGGACCCACAACGACAAGCGGTCACTGTGACCGCAGTGGGCCCGAAAGCGCAGCGCCATCAGAGGTCTTACCTCCTCGGCGAGCCATTTCTAGTTGCATTCTAACTACGGAAATGTATAAAAACTACAAAAAAGCAAAATAGAGGCATAGTATAAATAGGAAGCGTCTGTAATTCGTTCCTGTAACCTTTGGACTACAAATACTTACAAGTTGAGTGGCGATCATTAAGACCGTCTTGAGGGAAAACCTTCGTCCACAAAGGTCGAACAAATCTTCCAGACTGGGTCCTAACAACTCCATTACTAAAGCGTTGTATTTCCCGCATGGTCCGAAGTAGAAAACTTCAGGTATACCTTCTAGATGATAAAATGTGTACAAAGGAATGAAAGATGGGGTTGGAGGGATGTTTGGGGTATGATGGGAGCGAAAAAGACAGAATACAATGGATGAGAAGACGCTCTCTCAAAAAGAACAAAAAAAGAGCAAAATTTCGTGTTGCGACGTGTAAGCGTGCAAGAGCAGCTTAGCAGAACGCGCTGGGGGCCGACGTTCAGAAAGTCAGAGGACAGAGTTCAACGCTTATTTTCGGTGCAAGAGGAGCATAAGGGGGGATGTGGAGCGACGAGAGCAGGCGGAGGGGGATAAAAATCAGCAGACAAAGCTTAAGGTTAAAAAAAATTCCAAAATCGCCCCTTACAACGAAGAGTATATAAATAACGCCATCAAATTCCCACAGGAAGCGGTATTTCATTTGACTCGAAAGGAAATATGAATGTATGCATGACAATTATGAGCTGCGTTTCTGGAAGAGAACGTGGCTCTTTAATGGCTGACTGCTTACATTACGACATCACGGACTACCAGTATGGTGCGACACTGCCTTGGCTAATTTAAATTTTCTTTTTGGGGGTAAAATTATTTTTAATTTCACTTTTTTAGCGACTTTACGCTTATCGAAGGAGAGTGCAATTCCTGAGTGAGACATAATCAGCGTACTCCCCAGAAATATTCAGGGCGTCTCCACAAGGTACTCGGAGGCCTGCCTTCAGTATTTCAAGAACTGTTTGTAATTAGCACGTAACATCTAGGAGACGAAATTTAGAGCGAGCCCAACAAACGAGAAGCAAACTGCGTGTACAACAGGACACAAAAGCTGACCAAGCAAAAATAACGAGAAATGATTACATGTCGTAATTTTAATTTGCTTCTGTGCATACAAACGGAATGTCAACAGGTTTATGACGTAATGCTCATATGAAAGCATTGGTACTGTAAATCTGCATCCACCAAACTTAAAAGGAAAACCTGATTGAATAGGAATATAGGCTACGAAATTATGTTTTGACACGGTGGCAAACTGCAACATAAAAATGCATGGTCTGTATCACTTTATACAGTTTTAGGTTTGCTACTTTCACACACTGACTTTAATAAAATGGATACAAGCAGCTAAAATCCTAATGACATGCTTGACAGCGTTTCCATAGCGTCCCCAACAGCAAATAAAAAGGGCACAAATTTTATGCAAAAATGGTAAAATGGATGAAAGAAAGGAAATAAAGAAGAGGAATGGGGGATTGTGGGTTGTGCCTTCTATTCCCATCCCTCCCGTTCATCAAGGCACACACCACCCCCGCCCCCCGCGTCCGCTACTCGCCGCTCTATCGCAAGACTCACAACACAAGACAAATATGCATCAAAATAAAATCTTTCTCAGCGAACAGATGCATTCTCATAGCAATGTACACTACATATATAGCGCTACGCAGCGTTCCCTGACAGGCCGTTCAAGGAGACCGTTAAAGAGCAGGCTGTCCACCCTCACATGTGCCAAAACGTATCGTTACATTATTCAGTATTCTACATTCCAATCCAAAGAAAGGATACATCCAAAATTTCCACACTGAGATCTCGTTTGCGTAAAGTAGGAATGCAGTCAGCTGGCATATATTGGCTTCCTTGCTTAATTTTTGGCCCTCCAGGAAATTAAGATACAATAACAGACCAGATGCCGTGCACGTAGAGAGGATTTAGACGATAGAACTTCACGAGACGTCCATACCGAATCTCTAAAGGACCTTGTAATAAATAATCCTAAACCTAAACAGGTCGGAATACCTAATTCGTGATTCGTGAAGATGCAATGAGACGCCCTCAATTTCTGTGGCTCCAAGATTGGATCTCAGCAGGCAAAGTTAAGATTTGTTTTAATTTTGTTCTGGCCTCCTGGGTTGTGTCATGCCCATGTCCTTCTAAACACTGGTAACCAATTACAAGATTACACGGTGTCACAACCCACAAGACCACAATCCATATTTTCATCGCCGTAAAAACTTCAACTCTTGTTAACAACTACAGCAGAGCAGATTGTAATTACAGGAATTTTATCGACGTTTCTGCTCCACCTAACCCGGGATTTCAATGTGAACTTCACGTCTGGACCAAACTGCGAAACTGTTATAACTTATTCGAAAACTTGTCTCTCTTTCTATTAAGATATATTTTGGCACATGTATGTAGAAACATAATATTGAAGAATAAAAACAATAAAAATATATAACATCGGCTCCTGTAAAGGTGTCATCATTGCCATCAGGATAGACTGCGTAGACACTATGTACACAAATAACGTCACTTACTAGCTGAATGGCTATCATGACAACAGTTTTCAGGTTAAATCTGCGATTACACAGTACGAAGAGATCTTCCAGACTCGGGCCAAGCAGTTCCATGACCATGGCACTGTATCTCCCTCCGCACGTACCGAAGTGATACACACGGGGAATCCCTTCTAGAATTAACACACATACGGTACACAACTGGCTCAATCACTTCATGTACAGAATGACCACACACCTGGTTTCATACATATCCCTGTTGTATTTTCCAACAGGTGGGTGTTATCAGAGTATACGTAGCTTCAGACTGAAATATCCGACATAAAATAAGCTCCACTATTACATTATGCTGTTAATACTGTCGACAGTTTCAGCTGACACGCCTGTGGGTAATGTTAAATTCAAAAAAAATGTCGTGCTACAATTTAAACAGTACAAATAATTATACACCAAACAGCGTTTACTTGACAAACAAACAGAAAAGTATATTTTTTCTTTCCTTTTATTTTGGTACGTAAGATGTAAGTTTCGCCATCTCAGACCTAGGACCCATGAGTCCTGTATCCAGGAAATGTACCCAGCATCGTCTAAAATCGAGTTATAATTCACAATAGCAATCGGTAGCCCCTACATGGTTGTGAAACCAAAATATAAGCCGCATTATCTCATCAAACATTTCCCAGAACTGTTGGTCATCCTGATTAATTATACCAAATTCCACCATCAAATTAGAGTCACAATACCACGTTCGGATCGGAGAGACTCCTCCCCCTTGGATCTGTATATTTACATTCAACGGAATACCGATACGTTTTGCTGAAAAAGAGCTAGTAAACATGTTTAAACATTTATCAACATCAACGCTCAGCTGCTGGAACAGAAGTCAGGAGAGCATGCTTGTTGGCACAAGTTACGTCAGTAGGCAGTTTCTGGACGCGCCAACGTCAGAGCATGGCGCCTCACTTCCATGATTGGTTACTTACTGCTTGCTTTGGGTTAACTCGGGTTAATGCAATTACACAAACGTCAAATCTTTAATTAGCAGGCAGAAGTGCATTTTCTCCATTTGTGGTACCGCTCTCTTCAAGGATCAGTGTAAACATCCAATGATATAATACTGAAACGCAAATATAAATGAAAGGTAGTTTTCTTATCCTGCGGGGTAACCAGGAGATAAACTTACATACGAGACAGACAAAACAAGCATCAAGCATCACAGATTTTCGTAATGTATCCTCCTTTACTTCTGCAATATATTACTCATTTCTCAGTTTATAAGGTACAATGTTTTCGCAGCTTAAATGGAACATGATGCATTATTCTGCATTTAAGACACGCTCACAGCGGATGTTCGAATACACAGAATACTTCGTACACCACAGACTGGTCAAAACAGAAACAAGCAATGCACGATTTGAGAGTTTCACGGCGGTGAGTCAGAAGACAGCATCGCCGTGATGATGGAGGCAGAGAGGACCTCTGAAACGTCGATAAACTTCTACCAGACTACATGGCGCAACAACTCAGAAGATAGCCATCTTTAGAAACAAGCAACTGGACGGAAGTGGAGCGAACTTAATTTGCACGCGTGGATCGCATAGTAGCAGTTCAGGATCGACATGCGAATCAATTTATATTGAAAACGACTGCGACAATCACAGCACTGTCAGTATTGGCGAAATTACGCGAGAAACTTTAGTTCAATTCAGTTCCCTTCAGTTCGGCTACCATCCGAGCTGAGGCCAGTATTTAATCCCCAGTGTTTAATTGAACGTTCACGGTATCCTAAAGGAATGCTTGAATTTTAAAATGTTTTCAATACAAAACAGCATAATCGTTAATTCTATAATTCGCGCAGCTGTCACAGTTCGGGGCTTGGAACGCTCACGTAATTCGTACGTAAGCAGAGCGTGTGAACTGTGCTGCAAGTAATTTTCGGGTAGTTCCATGACAGGTTTATTTAGAAATTCCGTTGTTGTTATTTTCCTGTTACTTATGGGCTATGACACCACTGATTTAACCCGATGATTTCCGGACAAGAAATAGATCCTGAGACATTTCATTTCAGCAACCCACACGTTTTGTGATTCCTACCAGTCTGGTTACACCCTTTCCCTCATTTCAACAACGGTTACAGAGGTAAAATTCGTATCCGCCCGCACACGATACGCCGAGATAACTGAAATACGTCAGACGCACAACACCAATAGCAAATCAATTCTTTTTCAGTCACCACATCAGAGGTACGAAGCCAGTGGCCGGCCATTCATTTCCAGTTACGACCACCAATACAACATTCCCGTGAGACGATATGTAATAACCCAAACTGTATAATCCGCATCAACGAAATCGAGGTCCATAGAAGATGAGGAATTTATTGACAAACTAAGAGACTGCCAATTTCTCAAAACGACCTCTGCCGCAAGCTGACAGCTGTGAAATATCAAAAGGTATAACTCAAAATAGTTAATTTAAAGAACTTAAGATGACGTCCACCAACACCTCGATTCTGCCATAATTTTAAGGAACATGACTTTCAAATAGGCAAACTGACTACGCCTACATACATTAAAACAGTATGCCAATGGGTTTACCACAAATTCCGGTCAAACGGTTAGATTATCCAATTCAAAACCATCAGTACTGTGACTGGCAGTTCCCACTTAATTGCTAACTTTACAATGAAGTTAACAGTGGGCGATAACGAGTTACGGCAAAGAAAACATTGGTCTTAATCGACGTAACAGGAAGATAGGTCGATGTTTGGTGTGATCTTCCGTAAGCAGCATCAGCACTAAAACCCTTTCAGACAAATCATTTAAAAATCGGCCACCTGTTAGTGGGGAGGTGATTTTCGTAAAAATAACGAACCCGACTACCTTAAGCACCTCCACTGCGTGAACTAGCAATTCGTTACTTCTGATCTAAACTGCTCTATGCTGACAACGCGTTCAACAACTTCTACTTAATTTATACACAATCATTCGTTCTTTCAGAACTAATTCCGAATCGGAACAGATCAGAGTGATTAATAACCTCATAGGCGAAAAATTAAGTTTCATAATTACTACAATTAGAGGTGTAAATCCGCTTCGAAACAGCAAGCGACGCTAGTGAACATTACCCATGAAGTCCTAAGTTTCCTGTAACGTAAGGATCATGGTTTCCAAAATAGAAACTCGAAGGAAGCAGGAAGTTTCTGAGGTCCGGTTGTGTTCTACGAGCATTGGACCGTACCGCATGACCACGGAAGCAAGAAAAACAACTAATTTGGCATGGAAGGGAATCGATCCACAGACCTTTCATGAATATTCCATTCGGCACGGTCAGACACCTGCTTGTATTGTGAATGAGCTGAGAGAAGTTGCAACTACAGGAGAGACACGACGAGCATATGCCTTACAACTACTACTGCCATATTAAAGACGACTCCTTCCTCCCCAAATTAAGTAGGAACTCGTCAGCACCAGGAAATATTGCATCATCGGAAGTTTATATAACGTGATTAAAGCAAGGGCTT